ACTAACTACCCGGACTCTGAATTTAATGGTCATTGAAAAACTGTGACATTATCTTCTATAAGCTCAAACTTAAGTAAACATTGAAGATTTTTAGCGTTTTGGCTGAGTTTGTGCTTTGGGAGTTGTCTATTGTTTCTAGTCTGTCATAATACAGCATTCTTGTTCAGCACGCGTGCAATGACCACGCTTGGCTGACTTCCGAATGCTCACCGAGATATTCCCGTCACGAGTTGGTTTAATTATTTGCTTGCATTAAACCTATGAAAAAATGATATTTTTGTAATAGTAAGTAGACTTAGTGTGTAGCACTTCTTGATTTTTTTGCAAAGACACAAGAAGCACGAGAACTGATTAAAAATTGTTAGTTAAACCTCTATGTATCACGCGATGGCCTGTCTCACTGTACCAAAATTATAATATCTCGGTAAGCATTCGGAAGTCAGCCAAGCGCGGTCATTGCACGCGTGCTGAACAAGAATGCTGTATCATGACAGACTAGAAACAATAGACAACTACCAAAGCACAAAGTCAGCCAAAACGCTAAAAATCTTCAATGTTTACTCAAGTTTGGGCTTATAGAAGATAACGTCACAGTTTTTCAATGACCATGAAATTCAGAGTCCGGGTAGTTAGTTAATCAATTGTGGCCCTGAAAAAATTTGAAGGAAAAAAAACTACGAATTTTTAAGAAAATGCTTTTTTCGTGAGAAGGACTCTTAAACGCTGACAAACGTCAACAAATAGCGAAAACTATAATTTCTATATGTTTGCTTTGCTCGAAATCGCGCGCATTTACTAAAGCGTTTGGCTGACTTGCAAGGACCCATCTGTTATAACGATGCCCAAAATAAAGAGATGAATCTCATAGTTTATTATATATAATCCGTGTAAAGTTTGCTTATCATTTTCGCATAAATTATGACCTAAATTTGGAAACCGCTGAATTTCTCGAATTGGGTCTTTGCGATTTTGGTGAAACTCTGTTCAGCGCAAGGCACTAATGCGCACTACGTGTAGCCGCGAGATTTTCACGAAAAAATGCCGGCAACAGCCGATTTTCGACTCAGACCTCAAAGGGGCGTGGCATTATAACCACGTGACATTTACTCCGATCGCCAAAAATTTTATGTTATATTGTAGATTGATCTATATGTTATCCATTCTATGGGTTAGACTTACGATAAAAGTAAAGGTGAGGATACCAGAGAGCTTCAAAGTAGGATGGTACCCCCCCCATGAACTGGGTCGAGTCACCTTAAATACTTTTGCCTATGGGGTTTTTTAATGTTGCGCCAAAAAAAGAAATGTTTTTTATTTATCATTTTCCAAAAGAGTATATCGGTCGGTCCATACAGCATGCTGTGAACACGAAGTTATATATAAACAGCAAGATATTAAGGGCAGTATATCTTTATAATTACACTACAGGCTGCCTTTGACTATGAAACAGATTTTTTTAGTTCAATCCAGTGGATGAAGTTACAGTTTCTTGAGAAAATTTGCTATAATAAACGAGGCTCTTTTGTTTTGTTACATAAGTTTTAAGATACGTCAGTCCTTTTTTGACATTAAAGAGTTCTTAAAAATTTGCTTCATATCATGGACCTCTGTTTTCAAGTTGTCGTTAAAGAAGTATTATTGATAACAATGCTAACTATTAAAACCTATTTACAATTAATCACTATTCGGTCAAAGGACTATTTACAATTCACTTCGATTAAACATTCTTTTCAGTTAATAATGACAATAAAAATAACAGTGATAATGATATCAATAACTGAATAATAAGTTGTTACTCAAATGGCTATATAGGGGATCTGTCTGGGGTATTTAGTGTTTGATATTCCCTAGACACATTCTGGCGCTCAGTTAACCTGTAATAAGGCTAAAAGCAAACGCTATGAAATCTTCTTATGACCCTAAGTATATAAAGAGCTGAAAGAATTACACTTAGGACTTTTATTACATTTAGGGTCAAAAGTTATTACACTTAGGACCTTTATTACATTTAGGGTCATTTATTACATTTGAGGCCTCAACACACATTCCTCTCGAGTGATAAAGTCGTAATTTTAAGCACAGGGCGCAGAGGAGTTATTTGTGACCTTGATCCCAGTTACAATTTCAAGTGGTAGCGTGAAATTGCCCTTACATTTGCCTAAATAATCCAATATCAACGCGACTATCAAACCGTCAAATGAACTTTCCAAACACGCTAAATTGAACGCTTAATTATGAAGTTTCCAAGCACGCCTAAGTAAAATTCCAAACTGTAGTGAAATCCAAGGAAATTAAAGCAAGACGGCACATTTGAAGGGAAATGATGCATTTAAAAGCATTCTTGAGAAGGTTCCTTTCTCAATGAAGAAATTGCTTATTAGTAACTTGGGAGAGCATTCTGGTTCAATCAAAGTGCTTTACGGGTAGGTGCAAAATATTTGTCAATTCTTTGATTCCCACTTTCTGTTTAAACTGTTGCAAATGTCAAATGGTGGAGTACATGGTTTGGAGACGTGCGGGAAAATACCCTACGCACAAAGCCTTGGTGTCGATTTGATTTCCGCTGTCCAACAGGCGTACAGTGTAGTCCAGGGCTTGAAGAGGATTGGTAACACAGGATGAATCAGCAACGATAAATTAAAATCGCATTAAAAATTATTATAAACGTCAATGTCAGGAAATTTTATTCACTGCCACGGACCCTATAATTTGTGTGGTCACAGCTGCATTAATTGTTGCTATAAATACGTTGCAGCAATGGGCCTGAATGAGATTAGCATACGTAATAAGGAAGCTTTTTAAAACAACTAACTTTCGAAAACATTTGTGATTTCGTTGCTAAGTCGCGTTGATTAATATTATAGGACAGCCACATAAAGGATGGAGTCTAGGTGGAAGTTCATCCAGCTTGACAGGCGAACAGTCCTACTTTACTGGTCAACCAACGCTAGATGACACATATCAGAATAGAGTGGTAAGTTTAAAAAAAGTATAATATTATTAACTGAGGATAATATTAAACAGAAAAGTGAGGTTAAACAAAATCAAATGTTTAAGGTTAATTCTGAATGTTAACAGTCAACGGTGGGCGTTTCAACAAAAAAGAAGCATCAAGTGCATGTAATACAGAGGAAGCGTGTAGTACGTTGTTTTCCAACCAGACAACATTTTGTGTTTTTGTGCAGTTTTCGTTCGAAGAACTGGACAGTATCCCGCGGATGGAAATCAACAGTCAACAAGGTGAATGATCTGTCCTTTTTTTCACTTACCCTAACTAAATAATAATTAACAGCATTCAGCATCATTTCGTCTCTGTATTCTGTCTAGCCTGTGCCAGGCTCTCGGTCAGTGCAGATGAGCGAAAAAAACACGCGAGTGAAAAAACGGCGGAAAGAGAGTCTGTGTTAATAGAGCAACTTCAACGTCCTCTTTAGACGTTGAGCCACTTATTTCCACTGAATGAAAAAGAAAAGGTGGCAGTTGCAGGATGGCTTCAAATCCTTAAAAACCTTATATGCCTTTTCTTCCGGTCCACAGAGACAGCTGTTGTAGCAGGCCCTAGAGCCCAAGGGTTTACCGAGGTAAGTGTTTTAAAGTTTTGTCTGGTGCAAAATGCAAAGAAAAAGCTTGCAGTACAAGGCATATTTTTCAGTTTAACCCTTTGAAGCTCTTTGAGATCGCGAGGTTGTTGGTAAAAGGCGTGACTGTGACTCTTAAATTTAAAAAATCGTATTGAGGCGTTCAGCTGGTTACAAAACTATCTTTGAATTATGTCACGTTTCAAAAAAAGGTCTACAAAGGAGGCTAATATTATTCAGCTCATTTATAATTCTTCTCAACGGGAACAAATTGTTGAATTAAAACATATGGGCAGAAATGTTGCGGCTCCATTGTTATTTTAAAAACGTGTTCATTAAGAAATGAAAAAGAAGAGTTGTTAGTTATCAGTGTAGTCTAATCAATCTATTATAATCACTCTTGCTTTCAACTTGGAGCAGAACAAAAGGTGTCTTAAATATATTTATGGATCACTGTAATCGCAAACATGAGGAAACCTCGTGTTCGTCACAGTATCCTTACTACTTTTCCAGATGCTTCACACATAATTCCTTACCAGAACACATCTCTGCTTACTTGATGACCCTCTTCTGACAACTCTTTGACGAAGTTTTAGCCGTAGATTTAAAGGGAAATTTTTTTTGTCCACCACAGGGGTCTGATCACTACAATACCAGCTCGGACGTAAATGCCAGTTCGAGCGGGATCTGTTCAGATGATGGTGATTTGGTTTCCTCTGATCAAAGTTAGTACTTTTTCTTACGACACTTTCCATTGGTTAGTTGAATTGCGTTATTTCCCCACTGCAGAGAACTATAAGTAACGATATTAAAGTAATTTCGTAATTTGAAAAAAAAAATAAATTGCATCATCCTGGATAAAATGTCAGGAAATTTTTTTCACCTTTTAGTAAAATAATGCTGTTATTTCCAAAAACGAAATAATCGAGTTGTTGTTGTTGTTGTTGTTGTTGTTTCTATGTTATCGTTATCATCATTATTATCATTATTTCATTTCTTTCTTTTTTTTATTTTCTATTCATTTTTTTTTTCAGCAAAGTATATTTTAGGCGATGATTTAATGTAGCGGCAGGATTTTATAAGCATTTGTCGTTGGCTCCAAGATCAGTCCTTATCCGGATGATTTAGAATAGCGAATTAGTAACATAGCTAACACTCACCTGTCCATGTTTTAACTCAAGGTAATTCAGAAAACTTGTCCCAAGACCAACTAATCAGAACAGAAACAAAACAAGATTTTAAGCCTAAAATACGTCCTGAGCGGGTTCCTTTTTATCAGGTATAGTTATTGTTTTTTGTTTGTTTGCGTGTTGTTGTTATTTTCAACGTTGCAATCATTTTTTATATTTTCTTCTTGTTAAACAAGAGCGGACTGAAAAGCCCCTTGTTGCGGTTGATAACAAGAAACTTTACGGTAGTTCGATGAAATATTTAACTAAAAGGATGCTAGAACGGACCACGGGGAGGAGTAACGAGCAAACGGAACAAGAAAATGGGAAGAAAAATAAAGTTTGTGCTAAGGAGTTGGTAACAGGGCCAAGGTCAAATTGAGGTTTCGTTTCCATTTTCGGTCTCCCCGATTCGCTCCCCGATTCACTAACTCCCCAATCAATTTTTAAGAAAATTGTGGGTTTGTTTTAATTAACGTTGGAAAGCAAGAGTAAGGTTACGGGGTCAGAAATACACGTTTATAGCGGAGCTCCACCAGCGCGCGTGGGCGGAGCCCCATAGCTAACGAAATGTGGTAATCTACCCATCCCAGAAAATTTGGTAATCACGTGACCGTACATCGAGCGAGCGAGCGACCGTCCGTCCGCACCACAGGTATACCAATGTAAAATAACTCAATCAACAGGTATGGGAACCCAAATGCAACTCAAGGTTTTATTTGGAAGGAAATCACATGGCCGCCCGGACTTTTAGAAAGAAAAAAGTCGTGTCTTTTTCGGCGTTATTTTTTATGTGTACACTAACGTGGATAACAGAGAAAGAGCTAGAGCGAGTTATTGAAAATTCGTTGGAAGAAAAACATGGAAATTCAAAGCGGCGGTGACAATATGAGAAATGCTAGCTGCCAGCAAGGTGAAAATGAGCGGCAGTGAAAAATAAAAGCGAACATGAACACTGGAAACAACATATTGGGTAAGCACATACGACAATTCCTCCATAAAAATAATGTGTAACCAGGAAGTTTGACGTTTTAGTCCTACAAAACAGTGTTGTAGTCGTGCAAAACAACGGCAAGGGAAAGACAAAAAAAGCGTGCTGCACGTGCAAATTTGGTTTTTGCTAATTAGAAGAAAAAGTGTGCTGCACGTGCAGTTTGTTTTTTTGCTAATTAGATCTATTAGTCTTGAAGCCACTTTCATTGTCGTCCCCCGTTTAGCGTTACACGATTTAATTTTTTTTGTTTACACGTATTATTAACCAGAGCTTCGCTTTTAGCCTGGCTAAATCTATATATTACAAGTAAGGCTGCTATCGTTCTTGTTTCAATTAAAAAGATATTCCCCACGTAGAAATTACAAATTGTCCGCTCCCAGTCTTGCTTGTGAGCTGAGAAACAGGAAATACAGTACACTTTTAATTGTTTATCGTTAATGTAACCGAGCACAATTGAGATAGTTCTAATATTTTAAAGAAAATAATTACTTTGCAGTGAAAACAATCTGAGGCTATATTAAGCCTACTCGTTACAAAAAAAATCTTCGTACATCTGCAAATTTATGTACAAATGACTGTAATAAGAATTTCTCAAACTCATTAATAATTCATTAAGAAAATACAAAGGAAATTAATGTTTAGTGAGTGTTTGGAAATCGGATGAAACACTGCTTAGTATTTGCATCCTTAATTTCTCCTTCAAAAATGATTTTGTTTGAGAAGAAATATCAAACATTCGACACAGTGTTTCATCACCAGATGAGACACCTCGAAGTTCGTCAAAAATACTCCGCTGCGCGTCGTATTTTCAACTCTCTTCTCGGTGTTTCATCTGGTGATGAAACACTGCATCTCATGTTTGATATATTACATGAAGCACTGGTCACATTAATTTCAAGGCCATCCTTGAGGGTACACACTATTATACATACATTTCAGAAGAACGTGTCATTTAAATTTTGGCTAAAAAGGTTCTTACTTGCGCGGTAGATCAGATAGCATTTGCGATCTTTTAAACTTACCTGCGATGATACCAATTGGGTCAATTTGTCAACTGTTGTAAATTTTCTGTTTGGCTGAATTGGTGGCAACTAATACTGCATATGGTATCCAAGTTTTTTAAAAACAGAAATGAGACTTTTTTGCGTTAGGGAATTTTCTGTTGTACTCGTGCAGTGAAGGAAAGAAATAAACTTCATCATCATCCTTGACGAAAACTTGTCGAAGGCATAAAATTCTGCCTTATTTGTTGTCCGAGAATTTTTTTCCAGGCGTAATCTACTGTGATAAAGAGCCATTATGGCTCTTAAATGTGATCGAAGATGATTGCTATTTCTGGGTGTACATATAAGGCTAATATTTAACAATTATTCCTCGAACCCGAATGGGCTACTGACTTAGAACGCAACATTGATAATAGACCACTAGTTGGTTTTTACTAAATAGATTTAGCCAGGGCTAAAAGCGAAGCTCTCGGTAATATTTATAGTTTGTTCAAACAAAATATAAAATCGTGTAATGCTAAGCGGCGAAGGCAACGCTGGAGAACGGTAAAAAACAAAAACAAACAAACAAAAGGTCTAATTAGCAAGAAAAACAACTTTGCACGTGCAGCACTTTTTTTGTACATTTCTTTGCCGTTGGTTTATACGACTACAACGTGAAATTTGCAGAAACTTCTTAGTTACACGATTTTGGGAGAAAATGTTGTACGTGTTCTCGATCACTTTTTTTAAGCTTAAGACTTCAGACAAACAATCTCCGCTTTCCGCTTTCGTCTTTGTGGACTTTTTAGTTGTCTCTGCTTTACAGGACGCCGGTGGCTATGCGATTTCCCGCTAAAATAATCTTGAGTTGCACTTGGGTTACCTTACCTGTTGAGACTCGGGAGGACAATATTATACAAATCATTTTATTTTGTCCACCCGAGCCTCGATTTGATGCCTTTGTTTACAGGAATGTGGGAAACATCTATATTAAAAACTGAAGATTTTTTGTTTTTCTTTTCGTTAAGGGTGCACCCGTTTTTCTTGTAAAATTCGAACATCCTCCCCCAAGCGAAGTTCAATCATTGAGAACAAAATTTGAATCTTTGGGAGACGTTTTGTTGAGAGAGAGACTGAATAATAATACCTTTTCAGGAGAGAGAATGCCAGGTATGTCCACTTGTAAAATACGAAAATACGGCCTTGTCTATACACAGGTAGCCCAAGCTTAGCATAAGAGTTTCATTAATATGCGTGATATCATATTGCGTAATTCTCAAAATGCTGGTAAGCATAAAGTTTTTGTATGGGAATTCAGGCAATAGATGCTAGGAGATAAATAATTGAAAAATAGTTTAAATATGTTCATGGGCATTTTGAAGATTTTGTGTTTTTTTTCCACACTCGTAAATGGTAATGTTTGTTTCGACGCAGAAAGAGACTCAAACCAAGACTGTTGCGACAACAATATCATAGTAAGCGTCATTTTGCGTCTTTCGTACAGTACATTGCTGATGCCGAGTTTTAATTTGATTGATTCATTATTTTCAGAAATATTGCTATTATTGTATTTATCTCCTACTGCGAGGCATAATATCAAAGAATCATTACTGCCATGAAATCACAATTTGCCCCATGTTGAACAGTGCAATCTCACAGTGACATCGGCTAGGGATATTGTTTTTAATTTATTGAACATCTAACAATGAAACTCTTTCCCAGAAAATCTCTGAGCGGGCAACATTTTAAAATCTATGACGTCAGAGGGTAACAGTGCACATGTTGAGACCGCCGTTACAGCGAGGTTTAATGAATTTCAAGCTTCAAAATGTCCAGCTATATAACAAATCACTTAATGAGTGGTCCCAAGGGAAACACTTAATTGTGTTTCTCTCGAATCTCAATGTTTCCTTCGGCCTCGCCTCGGAAAACATTGAGATTCTCGCGAAACAAAATCAACTGTTTCAGTCATTAAGTGTTTAATATTACCCGTGGGGTGGGGATGTGGGGCTAATTATTTTCCCCTTAGGTTTTGCGTGAGCATATGCCATCCAGGTTGCAAAATTTAGACGCATAACCGTGTAGGTATCTTTGGGGTCGTGACCTCCTGGGTAGGGGGGGGGACGCTTACTTTAGTTTTGTGTGGGTATGTGCCCCTCAGGAATTAAGGCTGCACATGCTAGTATGGGAATTTTTAAGGTTCAGTGCTCTCTGCACTTAACTTTACTTTTAAGTAATGTATACCTCACAAAACGAAGCCAACAGTGCGATAAAACGTGTTTTTAAAGAGGGATGGTTTGTTCACTTAACCCACATGAACCGTACTGAAGGCCAATTTACTGTTATCCTTTAAGAGAGATTACACTAGACAAACGATTTAAAATTCAACGTAAGGCCAGAGACACCTTCAAAGTTAGTCGTCGAAACATCTTCTAAATTAGAATACAGTAAAAAAAAAAGCATAGCGCTTTAACAACGATACTCTTTTCAGTTTTTTGGCTTAGCCTTAATAATTTTATTGTTTGTAAAACTGCAGCTGCATCAAGGCCTTGTATTGTTAAAGTGTCGGTGGAGTCGGAATCTGGTAGACCTTTGGGGGAAACGGAAGTGGAATATGTTGATGACCCAGGCATATATCCAATTTTGTTCCGTCACCTGGCCTGTAAATATGATGGAAGTGATGGCCATGCTCGCGGTGATACAAGTAATTCTGCCAATGGTGAGAGCAGTAATGGCCAGGCCCACGGTGATACAAGTAATTCTGCCAGTGGTGAGAGCAGTAATGGGCAAGGTGATACAGGCAGTTCGGGAAATGGTGGTAAGTTACCGTATTTGCTACTTGCTTAATAACTAATATACCTGAGCTTGTTTGAGTTTCTGAGCACGTGAAAGAAGGAGAAAGTGCCTTCTCTCTGACGTCTCATATTACGTCATTAGCTTCACTCTTCAATCTTTCTTAGATTGGTGATTAATGTATAATGTGAAATGACATCATAACGACATTATCAAATGTTAGAAATATACCAACGGATATACATTGCAGCGCGATAGTTTTCAGTACGTCTTTTTCTGCGGCATGGAAGTCCCTGTCAATCGAAAGCCAAAATATCTACAGAAACTTTTAATGCTTGAAAGGGCTAGAAAGAGATCGTTGACAACAGCTCTTGTCTACTGAAGGCGCGAGAAATCACTCTGTCTTCATACTAGAGTGGAACCTCGGTCTAACGAAGGGCCAAGGGACTGGCGAAATATGTTCGGTATAAGGTTTCGTTATATCGAGGTTCTTTTCCAGTCATTTTGCAATTAGGATATTAGAATATCGTTCATTTTACCGAGGACTTTTATAGAGCTTGGTTAAATCGAGGATCCACTGTAAATATTGTTTTAACGTATCCATTTTTAAATGTTTGAGGTTTTGCTTTTATCGTTAAAAGCAAAGCATAAAACACAAGCAAAAGATGTATTTATTGACATGACCTAAATTCTATCATCTTTCGCAACACTGAACACCTTTACTTAGGATTTACCCAACAGCTTCAGTCACTGCAACATTTGGTTAATGCAATAGTAGCAAGTGGTGCTCAGTGGTTAATTGGGCCGATATTTAAATCTACGGTGGGAAGAATGTTACTCCATTCTTGTAAGGAGACTTCGCAATTACCAGAGGCAATAGCCAGGAAAAATGGACATGAGGAGACTGCAAAGTTCCTTGCAGACATAACTAAGAGGTAACTTTAAAAATTCTACCTTTTTACCTGGTTGTAAACTATCTTCATAAGTTGTCAGAGATGCCTTAAAATGCGAGTATTAGACAACTTCTATCCTTTCTACTAGACCTTATTGACCATTGCATGAAGAGAAAAAGTTGGTGCATAGTTTTTTCTCGCTTTTCCTCTCCTGGGCCGAGTTGTTCAAAGCTGGGTTAAGATAACCCAGGGTTAGTGTGAGATTTGAATTCAGATTTGAAAGCTTAAAAAGCAATTCAGTTTTAATTCTTTTTGTCTACAGGTTCATGATTGGAAGCTCTAAAAATAACAGAGAAAATTATCCCAGAAAATACTTTTGAACATAAGAAAAAGGAAACCAGGGTTAAATTTAACCCCGGGTTAAGCGCTAATCGGCCTTTGAACAACTGGGCCCAGGCGTTAAACACTAAAAGGTCTAATCAAACAAAAATATGATTCACAAAATGGGGTCTTGCAAGCTTTACAACATCAAGCCGCTTACCCTACTATACTTTCCTTGTGTTTATCAATGATAACAAGATGATCGAAGCAAAGATGCATATATAATGCAATAAAAGCCGACATCGTTATCTGTCGTGTACTGTCTCTACAGATTCTCTGAGGATACAGAGTTTTACCCAGACGATGTTCAGAAGATTGACTGGTCGGGGCTTGTTTTTCTTGTTGAAAGAGCTACAGAACAAAAGATTGGTGGTAAGATTTATGTTTGTGTTTTGTCTTTCCTTTTTGTTTGTTTTGTTCTTTTTCCTTTTAAGGTGTGATTATTAACAAGTAGATCGGTTAATAGTTAATATAGTAATTGGCGGTATGTTTAAACTAAAATCTTTCAAATCCTCTCTGAAACTGCTCTCTTATTTATTCATGAAGTAAAGAGGTAAAATCGGTGTACAAACTAACTGCAGAAAAAACTTCTGAAAGCAAGGAGTTCTCCCTTTCTCCCCACTGAGTTTCCTATATTTGTTTGTTTGTCTGCTTGTTTGCTTATTTTTTATTTTGCTTTTTTGTTCACTTTACTTTTTTTTATTGTAGTTTTGTTTTTCTTTTGTCCTTTTTTTCTGATTAGACTGTTCACATTCCCCTCTTTTTTCCGTAAGATCGACAAGATCGAGCGCTTTGCGTTACGGGCGGCCATTTTGAATGAGTGTCAAAACTACACAGGGGGTGGGGGCCGCCCCCTAAGAAGTTTTAACACTCATCCAAGTTAGCTGCCCGTAACGCAAAGCGCTCGATCTCCACGATCTTACGGAAAAATAGGGGACTGTGAACAGTCTATTTTCTCATGTGACTTGGTGGCTGTTTCTACATACTGCATACCTGGCACACACCGAGCACTGAGGTATTATTCATTAAATGTCTTTGATTGAAACAGGTATTGCTGTTGACCAAGAAAACTATCAGGCTGAGAATGATTTGACCGTTGATACAGGCTACTTTGGGGATGTTGAGACGTCTTCCGGTAATCTGTCACCTCAGTCGAAGTCTGATTCTGACGATAACAGTTCAGAAATATCTTTTCAAGGTATTAATAATGTTAACTCTTCATATGATCAAACTGATATCAAACGTGATAAAATTCTGTTGTTGTTGTTGTTGTTACATTGTTTGTTTGTTTTCAGTCATGACTACCCAGGAAAAGTTTAGCAACGAACCAGTTTTAGAATAATTCATGAGTATTTTCTTTAAATGTAAATAGAGACCTTTAGATTCTAGGACGAAAATGACAACGAGTACGAGATTTCACTAAAATTTTTTTTCCCGTATTCTAGCCTCATTGTACATCTTTTTCACAAAAAATATTAGCGCTGTTATCTTTATAGAATGAGGTTAAGCTATCTCCCTGCCGCAAAATAATGCAGCCTATAACACTTTATAACTTGTGTCCGCTAACACGACATTCTCGCTAAAACTCGTAGTGAATGACGACGTCTATCACGTTTTCCCGCCAAAATGGCGCTGGTTCACGCGCGCTTACTACTTAGTATTGAGGAAATCTCGTACTCATAGTCGTACTCGTCTTGGAATCTAAAGGTCTCATAAGAGGTTTTTATACAACGAAGATTTATTGTTTTATTCCTAATTCATCTGATTTATTGAAATTGCTAAAGTTTCCCTACAATTAACTCTAATTACGGTGGCTCGATACAGTTTTTCAGGGCCAACACCTCCCAAGTTTTAGCATAAACTACGTCGCCATAAACAAAGCTTTGAAAAAATTGCCACCACAGTTGTACTAGATAAAGATGAAAATTTGTTGTGATCAGGGTTGCAATGACATCGGAGTTGTCATAGCAACGAATTGACGCTATTACCTATTTTACTTACAGCAGTATATCTCGGCACTGGGAACTGTTCTTCCAAAATCATTCACGGAAGCTTTTTCCTCCAATAGCCGCCTCGATGTTCGTGAAGTTTAAGCGAAATCTGTAAGAGTGTTATCGAGATATTTTGGGATAAAGATTTTGTGGTTAGAAATACGGTAAAAATGGACAATGTCCATGTTCGGCTGTTATCTGTAGAAAACGAAGCGCTTTTGGCATGCAATTTCAACTCATAGTAGTTTCAATCTTTTCAAAAACGTGTGTGAAAGATCATGGCGATAGCTCCAGCCGATTGCTAGAAAGAAAGATTTGATTAGTATGTATCCAGGCGCTCTTGTTAGCGGTTTTTGAATATTTTTGTCTACTTTAACAAATTAGCAAATAATTTTTAAACCGCTCAATAGATTTTTTTAAAAATTTAAGATTCTTGTAATGACTAAACTTCCACTGAAAAAAGTAGCGAATTGTAGCCGTTATTTTACTGCCTTACAATACATCAATAATTTTGAAACTAAAAGGTCATATAAAAGGAAGGTTAATCTCAAGAATCTTAAATTTTTTAAAAAATCTATCAACCGTTCTAAAACGTATTCGCTAATTTGATAAAGAAGACCAAAATGTTTACAAAACCGCTAACAAGAGCGCTTCGATACATATTAATCAAACCCTTCTTTCTAGCAATCGGTTGGAGCTATCTAAATGATCTTTCACACATGTTTTTAAAAATACTGAAACTGCTCTGAGGTGAAATTGCATGTCAAAAACGCTTGATTTTTTACAGATAACGTCCAAACAACAATATTGCCTATTTTTTACTGTGTTTCTAACCATAAAAACTTCATCCCAAAATATCTCGATAACGGTCTTACAGATTTTGCTTAAACTTCACGAACGTCGAGGCGGCTATTGGAGGAAAAAGCTTCCGTGAACGATTTTGGAAGAACAGTTCCCAGTGCCGAGATATACTGCTGCAAGTAAAATAGGTAATAGCGTCATTTCGTTGCTATGACAACTCCGATGCCGTTGCGACCCTGATCATAAATTGTCATCTTTATCTAATACAACTGTGGTGGTAATTTTTCCAAAACGTTGTTTATGGCGACGTAGTTTATGCTCAAACTTAGGAGGTATTGACCCTGAAAAACTGTATCGAGCCACCTTAAAGTCAGTTGTCACTAAAATAGTCTATGGATTTAAAGGTCAAATGAACCAAAATTTCGACATTTTTTATTTCAGTTCAATTCTGGTGTAATCTGTTTAATATGAACCAAATAAACATACTATGAAGTTTCAGCTCAATTGAAGCAGACATCTCTGAGATATTCGCAATCAAAAATTGCTATTTTGGGGCCCTTATCTTCGTAGAGCGGTCGAAAAAATTGTCGGCAAAAACAGCTTGTGACGTCAATGTTGGTCAGGTGAAAAAAAGCGGGAAATTCAAAACACTTGACGCAGAAATTATGGTGGTTTGTGCGGCCATTAACCTGGAAAGAACAAGCAAGTTGTCGTCAAAAATTGCAAGCTGTGGTTATAACCTTATTATTTCATTTTTTCGAAGATCACATCATAGTAAAACCAGGGCTCAAAATAACGGCCGGTCAACGGACAATGTCCGGCCTGATCGTGGGCTTGACGGTCAAACTCTCGTCTGGCCGGTCATTTTGACCGGTCATTTTTGAATGCTTGTCGCTTAATGCGTTTTGCTCTATAACGCTGTAATTCGCTGCTTTCTTTGGCTTTTTTTGCTGCTTTGCACTAAACCCTTTAAAGAAAAACGTTCTGCTTTGCTGTGATCAGTAATGCGACCTTCTTTGGGAAAACATACGCTAACAATAATCCGTTATTTTTTAGAAAACTAAAGGATGAGTGACAGTTTTTGTCCATCAAACGTTTCACATCTAATTGTCAGAGGATTGTGAAAATCACCTTCGACGGAATTCGGGCTAATCGATCGCTCGTCCTGTACTGTTTCTGTGGGAATAAATTTCAGCGCATCGATTTATTATAATGATTTCTTTATGTCGAACATGATCTCGTTGGCAGACTCGATTCCAGAATTGTCTGATAAAAACTAAGCTAATCGAGAACGAACGTCGCCTATCTCGGCGCTTAAAATCCTCCTTCTTGATAAGCCGTTCGCGATAAAGTGTTGCGCGACGACCCAAACGAAAGCTCTGCTGTATATTTATTGACTTCTGATGACGAATACGCTGTTTGTGGAACAAATTTCTTGCCAAATCGACTTCTTTGCCGCAAATATTTAGCGACTTTATTGTGGAGGAGACTTGCGATCACGTGCAGCGCAACGAAAAGGATCAAGTTTCACCGATATGCAGATATAGGACGAACCTTGGAGACTTTCGACACCGCCGTACGATGATACTCAAGGTATATATAAACGGACATAAAACGGGCGAAAATCGCGGAAAGGAACTCAACAACGTGTGAATGAATTTTTCACCAACTTGCCGGCAAAAACCTGAACGACAACGCCGTACAACGATCTACTGCCAGCGTAATTCGATATTCCATGGGCAAAAAAAATAATTATAATATTCATTAATTTGACCGGCCAAAATCGGGGTTTGTCCGGGCTAAAAAATATTTGGCCGGTCATCATGACCGGCGACCTGCTGTCCGTTATTTTGAGCCTTGAAAACGGACTTTAACGACATTAACTTCTTGACGTTGTACTGGAAATGTGCGTGCGTAGGTCCGATTTTTTTCAAGATGCATTCACAAAATGTGTTTATATAAGGAAGTTCCTGGAAACAGGGGTCTTTTTTCCATGAGCATGCGCACTAAGACTTGATAAAGAGTACGCGGCCAGTGACAGCGACCGTGGTGCATAGTCACAGGAACCAAATTCTTGACTTTGAAAGCTTGCTTGAGATTCAAATGTTAGCAGTAACTTAGGAAAGACCTTCGCTGTACAAAATAAGTAAAGATATGATGATTTAAAGTGGAGACTGATGCGCTGAACTAGTTGAAAGAGCAAGTTTCTCAAGGATGCCTGACACGAACATGGCTGCTTGTTGTTGTTTGGCGCTCGACTCGCGCCTTCATTCCCGTTCAAGAACCGCAAAGTTTGGCATGGAATGCATTCTGTGGGAATTGAGCAAAATGTTCTTTATTTAGTGTTTGTCTATAAATCGGATGTAAATTAGTTTCTCGATGTCGTGGAGGATTTCTGTCAATAATTTGTGGATATCTGATCCAGCCATATTTCGGGAGTGGATTAATAACGATCAGCGGGCGACTAACACGCCGTTATCAGTTGGAATAGAAGGTTGTTCCCTTAAGTATTTTACCGATACAAAGTTTGTTTATCGGAAAATTGTAGAACTTCTTGTTTTTGCGCGGAGTAACATTGTAACGCATCTTTTACAGGAATTTTCTTTTAGCCAAAACTTAAGTGTTCAGATAATTTTTAACTTTTGGCCAGCATCACATGTTTACTGTAGTTCTTGGGAAACCTAACCGTTTGTTTCATCAAAATCGATCACAAGATTCGACTTTAATTTTGGTCCTATTGAATGCAGTTTTGACTGTGTCTCATTGATATTCTTTTTTTTTTTATTGTTCGAGACTACCACCGACATTTCACCAGGTGACTAATCTGCATGTACGTCTCGTGTCCTCTTAATTTTGTAGCTTTAAAGTGCTGGGAAAACTGTAGCACATATTTTAATTCCCTGCTGAACTGAACACCGGCTTTTGCGCACCTTCGAACCCACTCGCTCAAATTTTTTCTGTGTTTTAACTTACACGAACAAGTGTTTACTTACATCAACAAACGTTCGGCACTTTGTCAGTTAGACTTTGATAAGGTCAGCGCAATCCTGCAAACACTACATATACGCGCGCTGTTGTCCAGGTCAAGTCGGAAGATGAAATTTGATAGTACCTCGGGGTATGTTAAAGCCGATCTACTTCGCTTTTGAGACAATGTTAGAGTTTTTTTGCAAACTACGCATTTTGTTAAATCACGAGCACACTCGCCAAGACCAACGAGCAAAATAATCGCAATGATAGCTTTGAGACGCGTCATTTTGATGAAGGCAGACCCTTTGGTGGGCCTCCATGCACATCGCTTATTCAGCGGTCGCGCATGCTCATGCAAAAGAGACCGCTGTTGTTCCTGGATATATAAGGTCCGGAGCTCCACTGTGGACACAAAAACAAAATATCTATGTATAGTGATATGCCCAAAGAAATTCACGCTTGCCGACAATGTGTTTGAAGTCACTGAACTTTGTGGCACTCGAGCTGATATTTTAAAACCCACGCTCGATCGGACACTTCTAGCTTTGCAGATCACTAAAATACAAACAAAATCCTCAATGTAGAAGTTTTGGCGTTGATATGTGGGCAGAAAAAGAGTTAATTTTTACCTGGTAAAATCTTCCCCAAAATCGGTTTCAAAGCAACTATAGTTTTTTGAACTTGATCGTTTCGCGCAGATAAATTTTGCTTTGTGTTGTCACGTTGAACATGCATAGCACCTGTCAAAAACCTACGCATAAGTAACATTTCCTTCACACAAAGTTAAAGTTACATTATTGCAAAAACTTCTTTCCAGTTATGTATATAATTTAATTACCGACTGACGTCAGTTTAAGGACCGTAAACGCCACTTTAAGCTCGCAAAGAGATGCGACAAGCAATGAGCAATTCCTTCATGCATAAAATTGAGCTTATTGAGTGAACTAACAAACGCTTCAATAAGGTTGCAAAACAACAAATATTCATTAAAGACTAGAAGTTCTCATTGAGAAGGGAAGTGCTGCCGTTAGTTGCGATGCGAATAGGACAAAGAAAGTTGTAGAACAGTTGAACATATGAATTATTTTCTATTAAAGTCAATAACTTAGACTTGCTGGTGTTATCAAACACTCAGAGCGTAATATGAAAAATGAACCGATCACGATGACAAATATGCTTACATTCATGTGACTCGCTAAGGTTTCAATACCATTTTGTAATTCATTTTAATAATTCACGAAATTCTAAAACAACAGAGCGCTGATAGGCTGTTTCTTCATCGAACAATCATCGTACAGGATCGATGAGATGAGTTGCGAACAAATAACGTAAAGGCCAAAACTTGTTATTTCACAGGTCAGGTAGATGTACAACACATGCCGTTCACTTATGTAACTTACAATTCTGATTACCGAAATAACAATCTGTGTGACAAAAGCATATCGCTATAACTAATCTTGAAACCTGAATTTAAAAAAAATAAATCGAAAAAATGTTCCGTACAATACTTCTTGAACTGTTCTTACCGTTTAGGCCGTTGAAAAAGACAGCAAGCATCCGATAAACTACGATTTCTGCACAGATCTTACATGAGAGCAAAACAAAATGGCGGTTTGCTCCTAAGAGAAAAACAGGCGCGGCAGCTAAGCACTTGCTTAAGCAAACCGCTGACTGCACAGCGCTGCAGTCACAGATGACCATGGAACGATGGAACCATTGAACCATTGAACGAAAAATCTCAAATCGCTCAAGAATATGGTCTGCTGCCGGCTGATGCCCGGCAGTAAAAACTTAAGGCTTAAGGCTTTTATACCTGCTGACAATGAAGAGGTGAAGTTTCCTAAAGATCTTAAAAACAAAAGATCAGTTGCAAGCTTCGCAGCCAAGCCATGATTCATCATTTGCCTATTTTTAATAACTGGTTCATGCAACGGTCCTCATTCAAGCAAATTAAACTCAGCAAACTGCACATAAGGGTTTGTTTTGCTCGCTTCCGTCAAATCCAGCTCCAGCAATTGTTTACGTGCAAAGAGTGAATTGTTTTGAAGTCACTGCCTGCAGTTGTCGTTCTCAGCTACTTCACAGCGAGTGAAAAGGAAAATTTGCGTACAGAGTGAAAAAAAAAACTATGTAATTAAAAATGAAAAAAGGAAAAGAACTCTGACTATTATTACTTGAGCAACAGAAAAATGATCAAAGTAGTCTTTTCTTCTCGAGTAAGCTTGCTGGTCTTCTATTGTTCCGAGAAAGTTTTAGTTAACAAGTTTGTTCACTCGCATGCGTTAGCATGACGGCTCTTTCACTGAACACAAGGATAAAGCTGCATGGTTCTGCAAAGGTAAGTAAATCTGGCATGTAAAAAAAGAAACCGTAACTACTAATAACAGAACACGAGCGGCTTTTAATTCAGCCCGGCGAAAGAACGCGAAGCACTGGATACAAAATCAACTCACAAATCAAATGCACAATTATCAGAAAAATACAAACCTCTTTGGAAATGTTCAAAACGTTTTATTCCACCTCAGACTGACGGAATGATCCGTTTTTACTCTAACATTGGTTGTTCTGAATCCAAAGTAATTTTCAAGTGACAAAACAACAACAACAACAAAAGCAAACAAAAAGGCTTCACAAGGAGCAAACGTTCGCACCTTGTGTATTTCATTCAGTCTCAGTCAGAACTCTCACAGAGCGACACAAACAAACACAGTCACAACTAACACAGTCAACAAACAGAAAAGCCCGCCTTGAGCCTGCGATAAGGGATGCGCAGAAGCTTGCGCAGAACGTTTTTCTGCTCTGAAGACCAACATTGACGTCACGTAGTCTCCAGTCCACCGCGCGGCCATTTCAGAAACGTTTTCGTGAAGTCTTCGGAAATGCTCGGATTTTGATCTTTTATCTTTCTATAAAGGATAGGAGAAAAAAATCTTTACCCAAATCTCACTTAGGATGGTTCTTTTTAGTGTTTGGTGAAGGTAAATCGACAAAAGAAAATATTTCAATTTTGTGGTACACTTGACCTTTAAAGGGGTATGTTATGCTGTTTTCTATCTTTTTAACGTGTCTTCGCATCAATTGAATTCCAAAAATAATTTTGAAGTTTTGTTAATTAAGAATATATTTAGGCATTAAAATTGTTTCCTGTCGTTTGTTGCTGCGGGTGGCAAGGATAAACGTGGATTTGAACTTGCAACGTCTTCACATTTTACCGCGATGCCTGCAAAAATAACCAAAACAGTTTTATGGTTATAGCTCTTAATTTAAAATTGTTTGATATCTTCTTCATAACTGTAAAGGAAAAGGCACTCAGTAATGACTTCAGCACATAATTCGACTTGATTATTGTCAATTCAAATGACCAAATCGGCAATATTCTCGTGACATAGCTCCTTTAAGTACGCAGTGTCTTTTAGTCCCGTCTGGCTGTTTCAAAACCCAGATTCCTTTGACTAATTTCATCCCCGCATAACATATTATTTTGAAGAAGATGAAACACAGCTGAAGACAGACGCTTTCAAAAAGTACAGTGATGAAAAAGCAGACTTGCCCTCCCCTGATCTTTCAGATGTAAACTTTCCCAAAGAAGGTAAAAGTCTGCTTCATTACGTGAAATCTAGATTTGCTGAAGAATGGTACTCCGTTTTGCCGGTCTCTGATTGTTTAATTCGTAACAACCTAACTATTTACCAGGAGCCATAATTGCAAGCGCGGGGTCCACGCGTTTCCAACGAAATAGCCACCCTCAACGTCACAAACACGCGCGGGAACCTGCAAATTTGTGCGTCTCTCGTGCGGAATTTCAGGAGATTGGCGATTGGCTTGCGACTCTATTTGAGCGCGCCCTTTTCTTTCCAAGTGTTTCAAAAACCCATTAACCTATCAAATGGTCGATAATGCATCGCAGTGACTTGATATCGATAAAACCTCCCCTTATTAGTATGCGGGGTTTTATCTTATATAAAGTCACTGCACGTGACTTATGAATATTAGTTGGTTAATATTTAATGTTCTTTCAAAGTTACACGCAGTGAATTTACTGTTGCACAAAATTAAACTTCGATCTTTCACCAATTCAATCAGCCAAAAGTTCAGTGACTCTGCGGTAATATTGGCCTTAGCAATGTCCAAGTGCTGCACTCAAGATTTGTAAGGGTCATACCCGGTGTAATTAGCAATTACTGAATGAGGCTGAGTAGGATATGAAGAATTCTGCAGATCAATCTGCACATTCATTGAGATATAAACGTTGTAAGGGATGTATTTTTGTCTCCCACCATAACCATTTCAGTTGGTTTGACTATCAAAAAGTGTTATATTAGTTTATTGTCAGCGTTCAACCCTTCTACAAAAAGGCAAACTCAGGCTAGCAAAGGTACGAGATGGTCGATAGAAGAAATGTCCACTCTTTTATATAGATATTCTATTCGTCAACTGAGGATGAAGAAAGCGTAAACCGACGAATACAACCGTCTTTATTCTAAGCCGCATCTCATGAATCCCGGAAACTTTATGCGATGCCTTCCTCATCCACAAACCAAATACTGAACAAACCGTCAAATCAGCTTTTGCTTCAAAGAAGTATCTTGATGGCACCTTTATTTCATTTTGTAACGGTGCTGTAGAAGTACACGAAAAGTGAAAAACTGAAAATTACACAAAGGTTCACTTACTGGCAAACAAAGTTCAAGATTGTGAAAGGTTTGAACCCAGGAGTCATTTCAAAAGTAGGTTGAGTTTGATCGTTCGAGTGAACGTAGTCGTGAGGAGGACTGTTGTTGTTGACAGTGACTGACGTTTCGACAACATGTGTGGTAGTCATCTTCAGAGTCAAAGTGATTTGTATCACGTCAGTTGATGGTATTATACTCTGGTTATTGATCTGATTGGTCAATTACGTCGCGATGTTATTGGTCGTCTGTCAGGTAAGCCGTGATGTTATTGGCTATGAAGACTCGTAATCAGTAATTGGTGCGTTTCGATCCGTCTATTGTCACAGTTAAACAGTCGTCTATTGTTAGTCAAATTGTCAGTTCTCCAGTCCTTCTCTCGTAGTTAGTTTTGCTTGATCTCGTCAATAAGTCGTTTGTACGGCGCTGGTAACTGTTGGCTACGATTCAGTGGCGTTTGTTCTAAGTTAGTAAACCAGCTTTCTAAAGTAAGACGTTGGTAGTAGTCTGTAGAATTACGTTATACATGTCGCAGAGTCCCAGTCAATTTGATGTTTCGTCTTTAAATGGTGCTCAGCAATGTGATTGTTGACGACCAATAACATCGCGACGTAGTTGACCAATCAGATCAATAACCAGAGTATAATACCATCAGCTGACGTGATACAACTCACTTTGACTCTGAAGATGACTACCGTACAGGTTGTCGAAACGTCAGTCACTGTCAACAACAATAGTCCTATTCAGGACTACGTTCACCTGGACGATCAAACTCAACCTACTTTTGAAAGTTCAAGATTCTGCGTAGTTTTTACGCATAAATTTACCTGTCAAAATTTCAAACAGTCTAAGATTAGATAGGTCTTGGAGCGTATTAAAACGCGTGACCAAGCTAAAACCAAGTCCTTAAAAGTTAAAAACAAGAAACTTAAATCTAGATTTTTACTGGAGTAACTACATGGGTTACCTCTAAACGGGTTTATTTACCAAGAAAAACACAAGTTACATGTGTGAAACTCCCTTAATTAAGGTCCTTTACTGAGAGTCCTGTCCCCTACCCCAAAGTCTGTACAGACGGACGGCGGACGCTGACGTCATAACCAAGTTTTCTTTCATCTATTGTTTTCCAATTTATACAGCAATGAAGGCTCCGCTTCCGCGGATGCTTCGCTAATATACTTCCAGAAACTATTACCTCGATCCAAGCATACACTGACCAGTGTCGGTAGCTACTCTTAATTGGTAAAAGTTTGTCAATAAGCACTGGTGATCATCATTATCAAAATCTCTGACAACGTTTATATCTTACTGAATGTGCCAACTTCAAACACAGCAGCAAACCTTGGACGATTTCGAGGTGTGCACTATGTGAAACTTGTTGACCATTGGTAGAAATTCTCCGCCGATACACTCGTATTGGCAAAAAGAGGGAGTTAACAATAGCATAGCCAATTTTAGATGTCTGTACTTAACACCATTTGCGTTAATCTATTTCCAATACAGGAAAGACTGTAGACACGCTTTTCTGGTTTAATAAGGGTGCTAACGCGATTGAGAATCTAAACAAGGACAGATCTTTACAACCCGCACTTCACAGCCCTGCTACAGTCTGTAGTGGTTGCCTGATGTCTTTAAATGACGTAAATGGCAAAGGAAGACGGTACAAAAACAGAGGGATTTGCAAAGAAAACTTTTTTCTTCAAATGTTGCCAGATTTGCAAAATTGGAAAAGTGTCTATCGACATGGCGTTTCCATTCTTCTAAAACTTGCTTCCGAAGATATACCTCGTCACTTAAGTACAATGCACGAAAGGTGGATCACCCGAATACAGTTAAACAAGAATCTAACAGAAGAGACCACACAACTGCTTTCAGTAGTCATGTGGAAGATTGAGCTTAACCCAGCTGAAGGTGGTTCAACCAGAGTGACCCAGCCAGTGGTTACGATGAAAAGTAACTTTGTTCAAGGTGACTGTAAACTAATTCTAGCAAGAACAAGATTTAAACGCCTAATTGAAGATTTACTAGTTATACGTTAATTTCCTTTTATTTTTAAGTAAGAGAATGGAAATTTCGTACATTTGATATAAGCTTCAGGGGACACTGAATAAATTAAAAAAACTTGGATTTAGAAAAACAGTAAGCGTTTCATCGTGAACCATTTTTCAGCCAGTAAACGACGAAAGTTTAAGACGTTTCACTCATTCTTTCGTAATTGCCAAAAACAAATGTCTGTTTTCACTGAGAATCTAATAGGTCGGATTTTATCTGTTGCTGGCCATGTTTCCTACAAAACTTTAGCTGCGATGGATTAACTGTTAAAAGTAATGGAAAAGCCGAGGTTGTGCTTTACGTGATTAAACTGAAAGTGTGTGCAGTTTTGATCATCTTTGTTAAAACCTAATAAAGTATTCTTGTGCTCAGGCTTGGAGTCGCCGTACATTGATGATGACATCTCTGTACAAGAAGATTCAACAATGAGAGGAAGGCTATTTGATCAAGCAGTTTATTCTAGTTGTCCTTCAGCTTCTAAACTTTGGGTGCTGAATTGCTTGTACCGCCCAACAATGAAGACTTTTTTTGTTTACGTGAGTTTTTCAAATCTTTTATAATGTCTTTTTAAAATGATCATAGTTGAGTTAATTTAATTAGAGAGCTATATTATATATCTGCTTGTTGTTTTTTACTTATAAAGTCGTCCGTTCAGTTTACGCAGATAAAGCCAATGGACCTTTTGAAACAGTTTGAATATTTTTTGCAGGTCTTTCCTTTCAGAATAAAAACCTTTTGAGAGGTTTTGAAAAAGAACCATTTAATATTATTTTACCTGAATGTACTGGTAACTAACAAAATTGTCAACTTTTTTGTTAAAAGCTCTCGTAAGCGACCGCCCCGTTCCCAATACCTTATCAATGGTCGCTTATGACAACCCCAGCGGGGGAAGAGACGAGGTCTGGGACCGAGAAACTATGTTCTCACAACTTGCAAAGCGGTCACCCTGCGGGGTGGTCAGCGGATAATTGAAGCGTCTTTCCCACAGTAAATATTTTTAAACTTTTTAGAAGAAGCGAATCGGCAGAGGAAATCAGAAACGCTTAAAGAATTGAAAAAAATAATATCATGCATCTTTGTTTTTCTCGCATATTGCATTTGTCTTTTCGGTACTGAAATTGCGGGGGAAACTAAAACGCAACCGTGTTAGATCTTAACCAACAACACAGCTGAACAACAACGCGCTCGATCGATTTACAGGTTACATCGTTTTTGCCGGACAACGATAACTTGATGCTGATAAAAATTACTGAAGAAAGTGTCAAATTTATCGAAAGCAAGTATATTCAGAGAGCTTGATAAATATGAGCTTACAGCTCTACTTATCATAACTGAATATTCACACTTCATAACATTTCACTTCGTTTATTACGATCAGTCAACACCTTGAATCCAAGGTTAAAATTCAAAACGATCCTAACAGACAAATCACAACTACTACTACTGAAAGCTCTGTACCTTGAAGCGACTTTAACTTTCCTAAGGTTTGCAGCAAAACACTGCTCGATAGCTCAACTCTTCCGCGGTTCTTATCAGCTATACGGAGCTATATGTTGGATATTCCAAACTTTGCAGAGGGAAATTGTTTCACAGAAAAGGAAACCACACACTATGTCTGAAAAGCGACATAAAATCAATAAATTTGCGAATTACCAAAATATAATAGTGAGAAACAGTCCCGCCTTCGACCGCCATGATTTTGTTTCTTCTCAAGACCGTTGATCTATGGGTTTTGACGTAATGCGCATGATCAGTACACAAATCCGCTGGCAAAAGCCTTGCTGATCGCTTTGCAAGTTGTGAGAACATCGTTTCGATTGTATTTAAGGAAATGTATGGGAAGTAGCGCCCCCGGACAACCCATTCTCCAAAATGTTCGAACCATCTCTAGTTGCGACCACTTTTATGAATTCCCGACGTGGTGGTTTACGAGAGCTTTGACTTAAACTCATTCCATTCCAAACATTTTGGCATTCGAAGAATTTTATGTTTTTCACCTTTCCATTTCAGGGAGCACCAACTTTCCGACTTTCACAAGCTATAGCTGCAACCAAACCCTTTATCCTCTCTTGTGGCAACCTAAAGTTGGTGCGTCACTTTTCAGATGTACGTCTAGCCGTCTTCCCCGTGATAATGAGTAAAAACTCTTCCTTGCGCGTTCGCGTTAGCCCCAACCGTGCTCTTTGGTCCCTGCTACTGAATTACACTTTGTTTTGTTTTAGATCGGAGATAGCCAGGATTTCTTTCCTCTAGAGTGGTTCGAAGATGAAGATTGTGAACTGTCAACAAATTGCTGGAAATGGTGCGAATATAGAGACAGATTAGGAGAAAGAGTGATGGAAGTGCAAGAGCAGTCAGGTACGTGAAAGCCGTGAGACTACTCTTATTAATAAGAATCACTACTTTTATTAAAAAGAACTAACCGCAGTTCTTCTGCGCGCAAACACATTAAAAATATTCTCCTTTCAGGGTAGGTAATAGACCAATTTCGATAATTTAAAATTCATACTTGGCTCCAAGGCTCGGGGGAATGAAACAAAAGAAATGCATTATTGATTGCGAACCTCAACATGATTTAACAACAACAACACTTTATTCCGTTTACAAACCTTGACAAACCGCAGTTAGCATAGCTAATCGAGGCGGTTGTGAAAAATAAAAACGAAAATTAACATTCTTTCTAAGTAATATAAATTAAAGGAAAATTGTTACATCGAATATGTAATATAAACAGTTAGTTGAAAATAAATACGTAGCAATTAATGAATGAGGCTGAGTAGGATGTGAAGAATTCAGCCCATCGAGGAGTTATCGGCCTCTATGGATAACACCCTCCGAGATCTGCTTAATTCTTCATATCCTACGAAAGCCAAATTCATTAATTGCTTTATTATTTATTCAAAATAATTCCTAGTTTAAAAACATAACTAAAACATACTTGCCCGCATCGATGTTAAGTTTATCTTCGATAGTGCACGTTTAGGTTTGTCCAGCACCGCAAATATTCTCCAAATAGCAGATGTCGGCCTTCGAGTTGTCTTCTCGGTTAACGGTGCATTAACCTGCAGAAGGCTGCATTTTTGACGTCATTTTCTCGTTAAACACAAAATTCTTCCAGGTTTGGTCATCAGTAACTGGTTATGGTGAATTATGCGTGTGCTTTTAGCCAATCAGAATTGGGGAAATATTTTGAATGAATAAGAAAATGCTTTATTGGATTGGTGTCAATTTATGTCTGCTCGGACATTTAAAGTAAACAAATCTAAATCATGAATCCTCGAAAGCTTCTCATGATATTTTTTCTTAGGTAACTCATCAGATAATGAGTTATTGAATTGTCCATGGCAATTTAGGATATTAACACCATGATACGGCAACTCTTTTAAGATAGATTTTACAGTTTTATGAATCATTCAGGCTTTACCTGGAATACTGACTGTCAATAGGTCTGCATTTTCATCAAAATTAAAGCTTGCAGGGTTGATATTACGAGCTTCCCTTCGTGGAGCCATGACCTTGTCTCGTGCAAGGCGGCGAACAAATTTACAAATAAACTTGCTTGTCTCTTTTTCTACTAAAAGCCACCCCTCCCCTCGTCCTCTCTCATGAGAGCTAAAGGACTTTAAATAGCGCCTGATTATGATGAAAGGAAGGTTAGGATATAAACTAAGACAAGATGCACTCGTAAAACGAAAAAATAATTTAAAAAATAACCTAAATCAGAAACCCTAAAGTACTAATGAGCCGTCGGCCGCAGTCAGGATTAGGTTAACCAGTCTTACAGGTGTTGGATTTCGTTAAAAATAACTGAAAAAAAATGGAAGACTTCTTTTTTAACAGCTTCAAAGGCGTTTCTTCGTTACAAGATCGACCTAAATAACCAGAACTTGTTCGAATTACGAGACAGAGCGGTGAAAGAACAAAGGAAACTGCAAGAGGACCCCGAAGTCAAGGTAAAGTAGCAAAGACTTATGATATTACGTATTCAAACCTTTCTGTATGTGCGTCTGACGGGCTGTCTGAGAAACAGAGAATACTTCATGGAAAGTGCTGGCGTACGGTATTTACGCAGCGCCGTTGACGTATCAGAAATCGAACGAGTGAGCGCAGCGAACGAGTAAGATTTCTGATACAAAAACAACGAGTGCGTAAATACCGTACAAAGCACTTTCCATGTGGTATTGTGTTTATTATATACATACTGAGACATTCATCATTTTGGCAGCCTTTTTATTTTAAATCTTTCAAAAATGCTAAAATTTGCTGCCACACACTTACCGCAAAATCACAACGAAAACGAAGTATCAGCTTTTTTAGTAAAAACGTCTGTTAACAACATAATGACGGTAAGGATATGAGGTAATCCAAGAACTATAAGTAATCTTAACTCTTTGTTCTCAATGCACAATTGAAAATGAGTGAAAATAAGTAAAATGGCCGGTTTCAATATAAGCTTAAGCTTAACTGAAAGGCAAAGTAGCTCCGACAAAAAGCACAACAAAAGCTTACGTCTCGTTCTGTTTTTCCCTTTCCGCTGTTGTTTCGCCGGCTCTCTACCGTTTTCTTTATCGACAGTGAAACAAACGAAACTATTCCACATGTTTTTCACTTTTCTAGCGAGAAACACTCTTTGAGTAAAACTTTTCTCGTTGAATGTGTGCGAAGCGGCGCTGCAAGCTGCAATAAAAGGCGGGAATTTTGGCGCCAAACTCACACACCTTTGTGGCTTCTGACTGGACGTATCATTTTTCTCACACGTGAAAAAACATCGTTCGCGATTCTGATTGCACGTATCATTTTTTTCACGTGTGAAAACTGTCGTTCGCTCCTCTGACTGGTTAGGACTAATTTGCGTACGAAAATTTACATTGCTTTTTGGTGAGTATTTCTCAGTATGTATATAATAAAACTAAACTCGCTCTACTCTCGGCTAGATTCAAAGGCATAGACAATACTCATTCTAGGGGTGAAGGGTTAGAAATATTTAACATACGTCAGAAAAATTTGTTCGGTTTGATCTTCTTTCAGCAAGACTCATCATCTGCAACGCGTTTTTCGCCCCGGGGGGTACTCCCTTATATAGGCTATATAGGTATGTGCGGCGCCAAAGGATATGTTTTTTTAGCCGTTTTTGTCTGAAATAGAGTATCAATTTCGACCATTTTTGTCTGAAATAGGGTATGATTTGTGCACTCTAGTCTTAAATTGGGTATGTTTTTTAGAAGAAGCTACTTCTTCATCGTTTGGCGATAAGACCATTTCCCTTTTAATGTTTGCGCCAACCGTGTACGTGCCGTAACAGCTTGTTTGTTATCAGTTCGCCAAGTATTCGTAATTTTCAGAAAATGTTTGCGAGAGATATCATGTGACTTATCAAGAGGATGATTGAATTATTGTTCAAGTTTATGGCAGCATAAACTGTTATTAATAAACCTGAGAATGATGCCCTGTGAAAGCACACTTAGGACATACTAGCAACAATCATGTCTTGGTTCTTATGTCACACAACGTGCAACATTTGTATAAGCTTTTGTACTCAGTAATGGTAGATACTAGTTCAAAGTACAAGAAAAAACAATGAACACTAACTAGTTGTTTGATTACAATGTATCCTTCTTCTTTGGCAAAGTCCACTGTAATGTAGCATGATATATTACTAGACTCCACAAAGGTTCCATTCATATTATCACATGCTTATCATGCACTTGTGCTCCTCTTTTTGTCGTACACTGTCCTTTCCCAGTCAGTTCGTTTAGAGCTTCGGTTCATTCACAACAGCGTTTTTTCGCCTGGTCTACTTCCTCACAAATCGCCTCGCTTAAATCGACTTTCATAACTTAGTGTACCATGCCAAGGCAAAGGAGGAACATCAACCGTCGAAATGCCGTATTGGATGGCGCCAACGTGCCAGCAGAACCAACAGACTACAGCGCCATGTCTACCGAAGCTCTTTGCCTCATGCTGGGAGAACGTCACCTCCAGCAAACCGGGAATCGCTGCGAACTTATCTCGCGACTACAACAGAATGAGCAGCAAAGACCGCCCGCATCACAATCAGCAAGCGCCCCGTCCAACTCCAGTATCGCCACCGGCGTTCCACGCGCGGAATTGGCTACCTTAATCGCCTCCATAGTGGACGAAAGGATGAACCGCCAACTAATCCAAGATGGCGGTTGCCAGCAATGCCAGTGCTTAACTCACTTGGCCCAGTCCTCCGACTAACCTTCAGGACAGCCTCAGGTCCAGTCCTCCTCCACCGCCACAAGATGGCGGCCAAAACACGACACGTCAACAACAACGTTCCCTTCAAAATCCTCCAACAGGTAATCTCCCAAACACCGCCGTTTCTTCTGGTCTCGCCGCTTCTTCTGGTCTTGGGTGCCTCTCTTCTTCGGTCGACTTTTCCGATCCAGCCCAAGTAGCGTCGCTTCACCCTAACTTCCGACAGCCTTCCCTCGCCAGCCATCTCACTAAAGCCACCTCGATGGCCATCACCAACGGTGAGTACGTGGACTTTGCTACCCTTTTACCAATGACCTCCCTTCTCACTGACACCATCCATTCCCATCTTAACCTTAAGGTAGGCGATCAGGGTCTAACTATCCCCCTTCCCTCCTCCTCTAAACGCCCCAAAATCACCTCTATCGATCGATGGCTCGATGCCTTTGCCATATATTCCGCCGTTATAGTGTCTGTATATCCCTCTCGTGCCGCGTATTTAATAGCCTATCAACAGTTGATTCGCGATGCGGCACGAAAGTTTCCTGGGATGGCTTGGTATGTCTATGATGTGGAATTCCGAAGGCGTGCCTCCCATAACCTTTCTGCCAAGTGGGGGGAACGGGACGTCCAGCTCTACCGCAATACCTTCACAGGGCTCCCCAAATCGGGATGCCGATCTTGCGGCAGCACTGATCATCTTTCTGATACCTGCCCTTTATCTCCTCGTAGGTCCCGGGATGCCCTTACCCAATCCGACCTGTGCGACAACTTTAACAAAGGCCGACCCTGTGCTCGCACCCCATGCCCTTACCAACACAGGTGTAACCAGCCGGGATGCTCAGCAGCTCACTCTTGGGAAGATCACACTAAACTCACCCGCCACAGAGAGGACAGACCTAAATCGTCTTCAAGCTCTGGCAATTCCTCCCGAGTACACTCCTAACTACCTCTCCCAACTGCGAACTGACCCCTCCCACCCCCATTGACGTCAACAAATTTGCATCCTACCTTCAGGGCCATCCCGATCACACAACAGTTAATCATCTTCCACAGGGTTTTCTCAGGGCTTTAAGATTGGCTATTCAGGTCCAAGGGCCCCCAAGGAATATTCTAACCTTCCCTGTGCAAATATCAACCCATCTATTATTGACAAAAACATGCTAACAGAGGTTACCCAGGGCCACACAGCAGGGCCTTTTCACATCCCTCCCTTCTCCAACCTGCAGGTATACCCCATTGGGGTCATTCCCAAGAAACACTCTTCGGAATGGCGTACCATTTTCCATCTCTCCTACCCCAAACACCGCCCCACCAGTGTCAATGCCCATATTCCTCCCGAATCCTATTCTTTGCAATACAGAAAGGTGGACCACGCAATTGCCATTCTTCAGGATCTCGGTCCAGGATGCTTCATGTCCAAACTAGACATAAAATCAGCATTTCGCAATGTTCCCGTCCACCCCTCTGATTGGGAACTTCTGGGTATGAAATGGGAAGGGCTCTATTTCTTCGATATGGTCCTCCCCTTCGGTCTCAGGTCGGCCCCCTTCCTTTTTGATGAATTCTCTTCTGCGGTTGAATGGATCATTCAAACTAAACTTAATATCCCAAAGGTTATCCATATACTAGATGATGACTGCTCTATGCCAAATTTTGTACCTTTTTACAGATCTAAATATCCCCATAGCTCCTGGGAAACCTTCCCTGCATGCACATGCCTTGAATTTATGGGTATCCTACTAGATTCCAATAAAATGGAAGCCCGTCTCTCAGTGGATAAACTCACCCGCATTCAGGAAGACCTTGGTCAGTGGACTACTAGGAAATCTGCTACCTTGCAGGAGCGACAGTTTCTGATTGGCACCCTTCAATTTGCTTGTAAGGTTATTGCCCCTGGCCGGCCCTTCTTGCAACGCATTATCCACCTTACAAAGGGTATCAAGTTCCCCCATTGGCATATTCGCCTTAATTCCGGTTTCCGTAAGGTCATTTCTATGTGGCAGCATTTTCTCCAAAATTGGAATGGGGTGTCTCTCTTTTTAGATACCCAGGCCACCTCTCCGCCGGAGCTTCGGCTATACACTGATGCTTCTGGTTCCCTTGGGTATAGGGGTTTCTTAGCAGGGGAATGGTTCCAGGGCCACTGGCTCCCCCACCACACCCTCAGCCAAAAAGGGGGTATTAGTATTGAATGGCAGGAGCTATTTCCCATATACTTGGCCTGTATTTTATAGGGTCCCCGTTGGTCCGGCAAAAGAATGCGCGTGTGGTGTGACAACAAGTCAGTGGTGGCTAGCATAAACTCTAAACACTCCAAGTCCCCCCGGGTAATGAACCTTGTTCGAACAATCACACTTCAAACGCTCCAATATAACTTCGCATTCACAGCTACTCACATCCCGGGCTTAGACAATTCTATCGCTGATTCCCTCTCCCGTTTTCAGATGGACCGCTTCCGTACCCTGGCTCCCTCAGCCTCTCCCACAGCCTCCACCATCCCTCCATCAGCGATGAACATCTGAGAGGTTCTGTACAGCGATACCTTCATGCTTCCCTTGCCCCTTCCACTGGACGCACCTATCAAGTTGGCGTTGAGCACTTCCTCACCTTTACACTCATGCATGGTTTAGTAGGCCCCTCAAACCCCCTCCTACCAGCCTCAGAGATAACCCTGATGTATTTTGCATCTCATTTAGCCAACACAGTATCCTATGAAACAGTCAAGCTGTACTTGGTGGCAGTGCAGGACCTTCATCGGGAGCTTAACTTTCCTCTTAAGCTCAATGACATGCATAGGTTACAAAAGGTCCTGACAGGCATTAAGCGTCTCACTCCTACCAAGCGGCTTGACCGTTTTCCCATTACCCTTACAGTTCTCCGTTCCATTCACTCCTACCTTAAGCCCGAACTTTCCTATAACCTGGACCATGTTATGCTTTGGGCGGCCTTCACCCTTCCTTTTTTGGGTTTTTAAGATCCAGTGAATTCACTTGCAATGGCCCCTTCGACCCCTCTGTCCACCTCACTTCCAAGGACATCACACTGGTACCCAACTCCCACTCACCCAGCCACATGCTAGTCCACATCAAACAATCCAAAACTGACCCCTTCAGACAGGGCCACACAATCACCATTGCAAAGTCCTCGTCACCCATCTGTTCGGTGATGGCCATGAAAGACTATCTCCTTCAAGTCCAGCTACCATCAAGCCAAACTCTGTTCGCCTTCGTCCAACCCAGACAATGGCTTACACGGAACAATCTCACAACAGAGCTTAAGTCAATTCTTCAACACTGTGGTCTCCCTGCCAACAATTTCTACTCCCACAGTTTCCGTATTGGAGCCGCCACCACAGCAGCCAAAGTTGGCCTTCCACCCTGGCTTATTAAAGTTCTAGGCCGCTGGAGCTCAGACTGTTATGAACGCTATATAAGGACCCCTAAATGTACCATTTTAGAAGTACCTAGACTCTTAGCTAATACTAGTCCATAACTAACTTCAGGACAGCTAGTATTGTCTTCAACTTTCGTCAGATCACTTGCAAAGTCTCATAGGAGCGGAAGGTATGGCTCCCTCTTCTTGCAGGAGCCCGACTTTATTCGCCTTCTACTGTGGGGGGATTGTGTCGCCTGTCTCCCCATGCTCCACAATCCGTGGCAGGGAAGTGCAACCCCTAGCTGCACTTTACTCCACAGTAAGGCTTAGCCCTTGGAGACAGGTCCGGAAAAATATCCACTCCAGAGTGTGAACCCCCGGTCCCACCTGATCTGTACTCCACCCAGGAGGGCCACCCCTCCTGGCTCCCCTCAGTTCCTGTACTGGGGGATATGGGCCTCACCCCCGGAGACTGATCAGGACTCCTGTCCAGGGTGGCTACCCCCGGTACCACTCGATCTTGTCTCCCCCCAGGAGGGCTTCTCTCCTGGTTCCCTTATCCCTAGATTTAAGCGCTTCCCTGCCACCAGAATTTTGCCCATTACCCTTTGTGTGTTTTCTGTGTGGTACCGAAATAAAGCATTTATGCGAAAAACACTGCCAATTGGAAGAGTGTATTAACAGACTGATATGGTATATCTGTGTGCCGAATTCCAATTAAGGTCGCACCTTTTTGTTATTAAGGAAGTAGCCAGTAAATCGTTTCAATAGACCTCTTTAGCTTGCATGTTTTGTTTTCCCATTACAGGTCATGTGATAATGCTCTAGAGAATTGTTTCTTTCAAATTTTGGATTATTCAACTGCATATATATACAAGTAATTTATGAAAAGACAAAGGGTCACGTTTCCCTGGAACCTCTATTGGGAAAACAAAACAAACAGGCTAAAGAGGTCTACTATTCCAAACCCTGGCACAGGCCCTGAAATACTTGACTATGAATTTTCTTGTCCGAAGACCAAACTTGCTTTGGGCTTGACTCAACACAAGAAAACACGATTCACGCCCACATGATAGCTTTCTTATTTGTGTATAAACGCGGGTCAACCTGGCTGGCTCAGTTTGTGATCTCTAGCCTAGTCAATTTTTTTCTTTCTCAAAATGTTGATATGTTCGTATGCCCGGCCGGGCAACACAGTTAGCGAGATCTCGGTATCTGCCACCGTGAGCTTGGTTATCGGGCTGGACATTTTTCCTTATTAACATATATTGTACGTAATTTATTTCGCAGCTATCTGGCCCGAAGGCTGCTTACTCACAAAGAGAGACTGGCACTTCTAGTGAAACTAGAAACTTCGTTTACGGATTAGGAAAAGAAAAAGCGTATAATAAACTTGCCAATGTCCAACACAGTCCGAGAGATTTTAAAGCAGCAAAAAACTACCAAGAACGTCGCCTTAAGATTGAAAAAGAACTGGCTAACGGATCGGGGGAAAGAGAGCTTTGGCGCATTATTGGCAAGACCCTTGGTCAACTGGGAGATTTTAAGGCAGCAAAAGCCTCTTATGAACGTCACTTGAAAATTGCGAAAGACCTGGGTGACATATCGCGGGAAGGAACGGGGTATAATGATCTTGGCAACGTCTATTGCCGTCTGGGAAATTATAAAAGAGCCATAGACCATCATGAACGTCACCTGAAAATTGCGAAAAAACTTGGTGAAAGATCAGGGGAAGGAGTAGCGTTTCGCAATCTTGGCAACACCCATTGTCATCTGGGAGATTTAAAAGCAGGAGAAGACTGCCATGAACGTCACCTGAAGATTGCGAAAGAGCCGGATGACATATCGGGGGAAGGAACGGCGTATGGGGATCTTGGCGACGTCTATTACCGTCTGAGAGATTGTAAAAGAGCCATAGACCATAATGAACGTCACCTGAAACGTGCGAGAGAACTGGGTGACAGATCAGGGGAAGGAGAAGCGTTTCGCAATCTTGGCAACGCCCAATGTCATCTGGGAAATTTTAAAGCAGCAAAAGACTGCCATGAACGTCACCTGAAGATTGCGAAAGAACTGGGTGACATATCGGAGGAAGGAAACGCGTGTAATGATCTTGGCAACGTCTATTACCGTATGGGAGATTACAAAAGAACCATAGACTATTATGAATGTCACCTGGTAATTGCGAAAGAACTGGGTGACAGATCGGGGGAAGGAGTGGCGTTTCGCAATCTTGGCAACACCCAGTGTCAACTGGGAGATTTTAAAGCAGCTAAAGACTATCATGAACGTCACCTGAAGATTGCGAAAGAAATAAGTGACAGATCGGAGGAAGGAGTGGGGTATAGCAATCTTGGCAACGCGAAATAACTAGGTGAAAAATCAGGCGCAAGGAACTATGTTAAGAATTACCGACCAATCTCAGTTCTTCCCCTGGTGTCAAAGATTATGGAGCCCACTATTCAAGTACAATTCTTTGCTGTTTAACAGAACATGACTTACTGTCAGTCCACCAGTCGGGTTTTCTAAAGAAGCACTCTACTGAAACTACGGTAGTTTACCTCTGCACTGATTATATTTTGGAACATATGAATAGGCAAATGATTACAGGAGCTGTGTTTATTGACTTGAAAAAATGCTTTCGACTTGGTCGACCATGAATGTTTGCTTTTTAAGCTACAATCCTTGTCAAAACGTTGTGTTTCAGGTGGCGAAAATGTAATTCAAGTTGATCCCCATCCCCCACCACTGAATAGTGTTGGGTGTTACAAGTCAAGCACCTTTTACATATCTTGCAACAGCTAAGGACCTCAACTTTGTTCAGGGGGGGGTGGGGGAAAAATCTTGTTAAGGCCTTGTTTGTGAGTGTGTATCGCAGGTTAAGCTGCAAATTCCATACAAAAACACGTAAAAAAGGGAAGGTGTCCCAAAACCTTTTGGCCAGGATTGTAGAACACTATGGAGTCAGAGGAAACAGTCTGGATTGGTTCTGGAACTATCTGACCTCACGAACTCAAAGAGTGCAATTTGGAAATAACATGTCCTCAACACGAGCCATCCGTTTTGGCGTCCCTCAGGGTTCAATTGTGGGGCCTCTGCTTTTTGCTCTATACGTTAATGACCTGCCTCAGTGTTTAGAATTGTTCTATTAATATGTATGCCGATTATACTGTAATGCATTTTACGAATCTTTGCACCTTGGAGATAGCTAGGGTAGTACAGGATGATTTAAATCGAGTTGTGAAATAGGTGGAAAGTAGCAGGATTGGCCTAAATCAGAGTAAAACAAAATCTTTGCTCTTGAACAATTCAATTGAACAAATCAATGCTCTTTGGAAGTTGGCAGAATCTTGCGAAATGACCACAGTTTTGTATAAAGTTACACGAAAAGACTTTAGAAAGAGTAGCTAATTTTAGCTATTTAGGTGTTGTTCTAGATGAAAACCTTTCTTGGAAAGATCACGTCGATTATGTAAGCAGCAAGTTCAGTAGGCTAGGGCTTTTGTCTCGTATACGATCATGCCTTACGCTGGAAGCCTCTAAACAGGTACACACTTCGCTCTTGCGGCCATTATTTGACTATGCTAATGTTGCGTGGGGGGAAATCTCAGAGGGTTGTTGAATGAGCTACATCGCCTACAGAACCGCGCAGCTCGAATTATATTACGGACGAACACCTCAAATGACACATTCCGTTTGCTTAACTGGTTAAATCCAGCTTTCAGAGGGAAAATGCACAAATGTATTCTAGTTTTTAAGTGCTTAAATAATCTGGTACCCAAGTATCTTACGCAATATTTTACAAGAAATGCGGATTTGCGCGATCATGCAACTAGGAGAAGCAACGACCTGCACCCACCGACGCCTAAACGTAACATAAGCAAAAGAACTTTTAAGTATGCAGGGGCTATTTATTTCAATTCTTTACCCAATTATGTTAAAAGTGCCTCGTCTGTAAATAGTTTTAAAAAGATGCTGACCGAGTACTGATTTTACCTTATAATTTTAATTTCTTATCTCTTAGCACACACTTTTTATATTGACCTAGCTAGAAGGAACGACCTACACCCACCAAAGCCTAAACGTAACATGGGCAAAAGTACTTTTAAGTATGCAGGGGCTATTTATTTCAGCTCGTTACCAAATTGTGTTAAAAGTGCCACGTCTGTAAATAGTTTTAAAAATATGCTGATTAAGCATTTTTCCTTATAATTTTAATTTCTTATCTCTTAGCACACACTTTTTATATTGACTTAGTTAGATTTTTTATAGTATTATTGTTTATTTTAATCACGTATATACCTTAGGAATTTTTAAGTTGTATATATCTTTACTTCTCAGGGCTCCTATGGATACCAGCCTCTTTGCTGAATGGGCTACCCTGATTAATTTAAGTTACTTAGTTACTAAAGTAATGAATATTATCAATCAGTGGCACTTACTGTCGATCAGTTGTGATCAGTTGTCGCACAACTGGTAGATTTACAACTGACCAATAATATGTGCCAGGAGCCTATTACCCTGGGGGCTCCATCTCCCTCCTATGAGGGCGCAGCGTATTTTACACTTTAGTTTATTAATAGGTCAAGCTTTCCGTGAAAAAAAAAGTACTTGCTGTCTCTTCCGCATTTGTACTCTTCCAAAGGAAAAAATGGCGGAAAGATCAGTAAAATGGTAAACAGAAAACAGCGGACCTCCATTGTCCTTAGTTCTTGTTTTTTCCTTTACCTTTTCCTCATTTTTGTCATCGATTTCTCATGATCCAATGCAATATATACGCCACTTGCGCATCTCCCATAATGCACCTTATTTGCCCCCTAAAATGTTGCATAACAATGGTTTTCGATTTTTCTTGGGACGGCTGTAATACCCAGGAGAAATGGAAAACAAAGGTTATTCAAAATTTTGTGCTGAAAATAAGGTGTATTACGGGAGATGGGCAAGTGGCGTATAATACGATCTGTAGTATAAAACGACCGCTGTGGTGTTCTGGCCCGGGTTGTTCAAACGTTGGATAGCGCTATCCACCGGATAAATCACTATCCAGCGGATAGCGTAATTGATTTCCGTAATACTTATCCGTTGGATAGTGATTTATCCGGTGGATAGCGCTATCCAACGTTTGAACAACCCGGGCCAGGTCAAAATAACAGGGCAGTTTGGTGTTCACTGAGTTAGTGGTACACATCCAAGAAATGTTCCTCTTCTGAACGCGAAATAATTTTCAGTAGACATAAAAAACCGGAGTTAGGATTCTTTTACTGTATATAACAAGGTTCCCAAACTGTTCCACATGAATGATGCAAAAGAAACTGCAAAGGACGATTTGCTCTGCTGTCACTGAGTTTGGTGGCAGAAAAGCGTTCATAACTAACACGGCCACGCCACTACATGCATACAAGGACCATACTAACATAAACTATGGGCGGCCGTCACCGCCAAAATACAATCATGCCAGGGAGTATAGACATCGATCGCAAATGATCAATTAGTAGTTTACTGCGAAATATTTCAAATAATAGGCCACTTTAGATATATTAAAGTCCAGTATGATAGGGAGTCTTAAAGGACACAAACAAAGAAAATGAATCAACATGGTTTATTCGTTTTCTTTGCCAACATGCTGACTTTTAATATATCAAAAGTTGCCTATTCCCTCACGAAGCGACGCCTTTACGCTGTCTTTCTAGTAAAGAAATGATCATTCTAAAACTAATATAGTCCGGCTATTTCTATGCGAAATGGTTCACCTATACAGCAAAGGATTTGGTCGATAAGAAAAAGTCTACTGGTCGAAGCTAGGAAAATGTTTGATATATAGGAAATGATCTGTTTAACAGGGCTATGTCACGACAATATTGCTCTTTTAGGTCAATTCCGTGCTGAGGTCATTACTTTGCAGGCCCGTAGCATGGGGAGGGGCCAAAAAGTCAAAACATGGACGCATAAAAGTTGAAAATAAAAATTCATCTCCCAGAGCATTGAAACAATGATGTCTCTGCAGCTAGGTGGAACGTGTTCCGGCGGTTTTAAGACACAGAGACCAGTCCAATGGGTCCTCCGGACCCAAAACCCTCTGCTTTTCAAATACAATGAGGTACCTAAAATCTTTGTGCCCCCTTAGTTTCTAAAGGTTTGTTTACGGCCCTGTACAGTCAACTCCTTTTATTGCGGACACTAAGGACCTCGAGTTAGTGTCCTCATTGGCGGGAGTCCGTATTAGCGGGAGTTTTTCAGTCAAACACTTGCTGGGGATTTAGCTGCTGTACGTATTATCGGGGTGTCCGTTATAGCTGGGTGTCCGCAAGGCGACAGATGACTGTACTTAGTGCCTTTAACCATACGCAGAATGCTCCTTTAGCGTTATGAAGAAAATATCAAACAAATTTCATTGAGGAGTACTAAGCATAATAATGTTTCGGTGATTTTTGCAGGCGTATTATTAAAACTTAAAAAAGTTGGCTAAACTTTTTCAAGTTTCAGTCCATGCCCGGGGGCCCACTCTTGCCATCTGTTGTGTAGCAACAGACACCAGGAAACAGTTCAGTCTCAAATAACACAAACTGGACCGTTATGTTTGGAATTCAATTGACGGGAAGACAAGTCAGCTTTTTATAAGTTAGCAAATAACTTGACATAGCTCGCAAAAAGAAGATACGATCAATTTACAATACGCAAAATAACTGTGCTTGACAACGGTTGGTCGAGAGAAGAAGTAAAGAGAACTTACAATAGCAATTAATATCATTCCAAAATTGGTATTTTAAAAACTATGTTCATAGCGATAGATAGACCACCAAACTCAGCCAATCCTTTACTCGAATACTTGATCGACTCTTCTTCTGGAGTTGTATTTCCTCTCTACTTAATTTTAGGGACTTTGGTGGCTTTGAGTAGTTTAGGGAGAGTATGCCCAGTGTCCACAAAAATATTTTGTTCAAACGTTTATTTCGCCCCACGTAATGGAATCCAGGAGAGTCTTGGATTCCGGATTCCAGGTAACTGGATTCCAGTATTTGTCAGTAGAACTAGGATTCTGGATTCCAATCTTTAGTGGGATACCAGATTCCTTGAGCTGTAGTCCGGATTCCAAACCCAGGTTCCGGATTCCATAAGCACAATTTTCCCGGATTCCCTTACTGACGGCGAATTATTGGTAGCATTGCACACTGCAGCACTGTGAAATTCAGGGTTCGCACGCACCTTGAAAGTCCTTGAAAGGGTTTGAATTTTAAAATAAAAATTCAAGGCCTTGAAAGTCCTTGAAATTGCAGTCAGTGCTGGCATGGAAGTCCATGAATTTCGTTGCTAACTTTATCTAACCCAGATCCTCAAGTGCCTAACACAAAAAGACCTTCAGGATAAAATGGCTCGTCTTGTGGAAGAACTAAAAAAGACATAGACTCGAGGCTCTTTTATGCACTAAATGGAGCCCCTAGAAAATAGCGTCCTTGAATTTTATGTTCAAAAAAGGGTACGAACCCTGGAAATTTTCGCCCTTATTTGATGAAGGAGTCACATATTAAGATAGCGTGCGTCGCATACTTCATCTAACCCTAAAAAACAGAGCCGAATATCATTGCTCTTGGCCCCTAAGGGTCTCAGAAAATTACCTGACAGCGTTTCCAATCTCCTTTCATTCTGCTTGGCCAATCTAACAATGACTTTTTTAACAAACAAATCATAGCGAGTAACAAAAATCTTGATACCCAGACAGGGGCCCAGAACAATGATTTCGGTCAGTGCTGGTGCCAACTCGCAGACGGACTTAACCAGAGGTTTGGTTTCGTCAGTGGCGCAGGCTTGTACTGAATTTGATGGGAGACGAATAATCTGAAATTTTACATCCGAATCTTTGCTGACGTCATCATTTACATTTTTTGCCCATGAGTATACGAGTTAACCCATACAAAGTGTCTTAGTGTGCCCAACTTGAATGAGTTGGTTAATTTCAGCAATTTGTGCAATTTTAAGCTCTTTGCAAGGAATAACAAAGGAAATAGCAGCCTTCAACAACTGCAAAATTGCTGTGTGGCACAAACTTTAATAATTCATACATTCTTTGTAAAGTTTCGATTAATTCAAAGATTATTTTTCTGAAGCTATTTACCACAGGTAACTAAAATTGTTATGCTCTGTCGATATTCAGAGTTTTCTTTAAAAAAGGGAGATGCTACGAAAATGAATAAGCAAAGACTTTCCTATTCTGGCCCTCTACACCCATTGAGTGTTTGCCAACTGAGTTGGTTTTTGGGGACAGAAGAAACAAAAACAACCTGGAGAAACCCTTTCAAATGGTGTTGTTTGATATTTGAGTGCTCTCTCCCTTGCGCCACCCTTGCCAACGTGGGTACGTGCGCACTGAAGCTACCTTTTTTTCTTCGCTTTTCGCGAGTGAAACTAACAACGAAGAAGAGAAGGTTTTAAGTTGGGCAAAAGATAAACCTCTGAACTGTCATGCCAACAGTACGATAAGTCCTTATGGGTCGCATTCAGGAAAGAAACAAGACAAGTAAGCAGATAACTTAAAAAGACAGAGCGTCGGAGAGCGGTAAACACCTGGAAAGACTCCAGTGAAGCCTCTGTAGAGGTGTGCCAGCCGACGCCATCAATCCAGATAAAACGAAAAATACATTATTTCGCTACCCTGTTTGGAACATTAGGCCTTACTTTATGACCCCGATCCACTTAGTTTCGCGCACAGAACTTTTTAAACTAACATCATAGAATTAGATTTTTTGGGGAAAAAAATGCTGATACAGTATATTACAGTTAAAATCCTCCAGAAGGTAAACCTGTTGCCAAGGAGTTGCGCTGGTGACTACACGGTCGACCATTGCCTGGCTGCTCAATGGAGTCATTAAATAATTAAGCGAGATTTATCCAAGGGTCCCGTTGTTATGGACGCCTCGACTTCGGAAACGGCATCTTCTTTGTCACCATAGTGTTTGAACAACTGCAAACATGACCAATATATTTTGGATAGTTGCTCCTGATCACATACTGCACATGTAGACCGCTAGTCGCCAGTCTTCACACTGCTTCTTAAGGCTTCCGGTCCAATAGCGTGCACCCTGTTCAAGACGCTAAGTAGTAAAATTGTACCCTGTTTAAGAGTCAGTACCCCTGAAAACCATACCCCGTTCAGCGGCACATACCCGTCTAGTCCAAATGAGGGACTCCCCCGGGTAAACATGGACCATCGTAACGCCGACGTGGAAAGCGATGTGTGACAAACGCAGACTTGCAGACTGGCAGGTCAAGAGGTAAACATTGTTGTGAAATACTCCAACAGATTCCCTATCCCTAAACTTTGTCTTCTAGAAGGCGTGTTCTCAACGCCGTAACAAGAAAAGTTGCCATCGAGAAAAGAAGCATTGGAATTAACGCTTGGCATGAATGAGAAAGAACTGCACATTGTTTAGGTTTACTTAATGCCTAAACCGCAATACCGTGTTTTCACTTTATTGCCGTGAAGTGTAAAACGGAAATATTAATTAGCATTATTCGTTATTTCTCATATTAAATAGTCGTGAATCGTACAAAGGACCCCCCGTTACGGTCTCTTCTCGCAAAACGTGTGAATAGACCTCATTTA